TTTCCACATGGGTTATGAAGGTAAGAATGAAACTGAATCAGAATAACTACTATGTAAGTTTAAGAGTGTGATTCTCAGATTTGGGCATGCTTAAGCAGAGCCATTTTTGAAAACATCTCAAAGTATATTTTCCCATCACATCATGACATCACTAATCTCATTAAATGAGGATCATATTTATGCTTAAATTTAGGATAAAAGATGACACTTAGCAAAGGAACTTTGAAGACAAGGTCCTTTGGCTTGGCTTGTGGCTCTATTTTTGCTACCATAACATCACATTCTCTACTCACCACCAGAACGTGCATTGGGACGGGTTCTAGTGAAAGCCAAGAGACTCAGACCTCGTCCTCAAAGTTCCTTTGCTAAGTGTCAATCCTTTATCTGGTGATTATCATCCTTGAGATTATTGTGACACCAATTAAGACACCAATTAAGTGACATCAAGTAAGTGTCACTTAATTGGTGTCACTTAACACCAATATAGACACCAATTAAGTTCATCAAAGTTGATCTCGTGAGCTTCAGGAATTATTAATCTTCTGCAGGGCGTGATTATCTTTGGCAGTTGCATTTTCCTTGTGCTGGGTGCACTGGTAAATATCTTTAAGTCGGTGCTCTGATGAAGTTTTACATGAAATTTAATTATATTCACATCATGTTCCCACCAGACCAAGCAGAATTTTAGGAATTGTACAATGGATGTAGCCCGAACCAAGTCTGCCATCAAAGGTGGCCACCCATGATGCTCTCATATGTCGAGTTCGTTCTTTGGGAAATAGGAGTAAAAGTTTGAAGTTGCATATTTCTTTACTGTATTTACACAGAATTGGAGAGTTGGCTGATCTTCTTGGAGTGACGCTCTCTCCAGGAGGTGTAGTTCGGCCTGCTCTTGGAGCCAAAAGTTCTGCACCGCAGTCCTCGTCCAGATCGTCAGGGACTCGGCCAATCCCGCTGCCAGGTGGCCTTTGCATTCGGCAGAAACAAGGAAATGGTTTTGGTCACCAAAACTGCCAGCGTACTAGAATCAGTCTGCTCTGGGTATAGGAAACCAGGACAGCCATTCCAGAACTAAAATGGTCTAAATGGACGAGGCAGTGTGAGAAGTGCAAAAGATTGACTATTCAAAAGAGGGTACTGCTTTGGAGAATTAAGCTGCTGCAAACAGCTACTTTGGAACAGTAATACAAACAGCACCTCTGTAAAGACTCATTAGACTTGCTGACCCAGGGGAGAAATGCATAACCCCCCTCTCTTACTTGGCTACCCCCTTGCCACGCTCACTCCTCGCTCCCTTGTGTCACGCCTCATCCCTAAATGTTTAACAACTAAAGTTAAATTAGTAACGTTAAAATTTAATTAGTAGATGTTGTTAACAAGTATGTTAACGACTATAATTTTGTATAATTTATAAGTATATAACCTACACTTGGTTTAGGTTTTTTCTCATGTTCCTTCTTATATTTTCTTTCTTATTTTTATCATTCTCTTTTGTATATATCTAGATTGGAATATATAAATCATGGTCAAGATAGTATTCTTACCTTTTCTGTTCTTATTGAGAGAATTAATAATAAACAATCTTTAATTTATAGTAATCAATGCAAATCCAAATAAGCAAATGGGCCCACCCTAAATAAAAGAGGGTGCTGAATTGTGCATTTTACCTGAAAATGCCATGGTTGACTTCAGTGTTCAGAGTTAGACGAGACGAGCATCAAATAGATTGACAGGTAGCCTTTTTGTTCCACGTGCAACAGCATTGCACTATACCCAGGCATGGCAACTCATCACGGACCTGAGCGGGCAGGCAGCAGGAGAACGTGGACATCAGTTGTAGCACACCTGATTATGACGAGTACACCTGTAAAGTCGTCAGGAATATCGAGCTCTTGGACTTTGTGACAAAAGCAGACCATGTTGTATTATGAAACGGTGTTGTGTTATTGTTGATACATGGTAAACTGTATGGGTTTATTGTGACGATCCGTGGCGGCATCTGGATCACTCACGTGGCTGTGTGCTGACGTGGTCTCGTTCACTCCCACACTCCTCCTCAAGGCCAACGTCTAAAGTCAGCCCAAGAGCCTTCGTTCAAAGTTAGCTGGTTAGTCCCTACCACGTACCTCATAATACGTTTCAACGCCTGCCAATGTGCTGTGGAAGGATGGTCCAGGTACTTCGCCACTGTTCCCACAGCATACACAAGATCAGGCCAAGTGGAGATTACCAGGTAGATCAGGCTGCCGACCATAGAGCGATAGACTGCTCTAGATGCTTTCTCCTCCTTGGGAGATTGATCAAGGTACTCTCCAGTCTCAGCAGATAATTTCGTGCCTGCATCCATGAGCAAGGCCATACCTCTGGAGCACGTTGGAAACATATTTTGCCTGGCTTAGCTCCAGAGTGCCTCGCTCCCTGTTGTGCGTCACCTGGATACTGAGGCAGAAATGCAACTCACCAAGGTCTTTCAAATTTTCGTGTACCATTGGCGTGGCAACTGCTTGAGTCCGTAGAGAGCTTTGTTAAACTTGCAACGAGGTGTTCTTCTCCAGGCTGGATAAAACCAGGAGGCTGAGCCACATACACCTCTCCATCGATGTCGCTGTTAAGGAATGCAGTACAAACGTCAAGTTGAAGCTCGAGGTCCAATTCTGCAGCTAAGATACGAATGGTTGTGAGTTTCACCACAAGGCTGTAAGTCTCCGTGTAGTCCAGCCCATGAACCTGAGAAAATCCGCATGCCACAAATCTCACCTTGTAGCGCTCAATGCTTCCATCGGCGTTGTATTTTTTCTTAAACAACCACTTGGATGAGACGAGCTTTCTGCGAGCGACCAAGTGTTGTTTTTCTGGACAGAATCATACTCCTCCTGCTGGCTGCCTGCCAGTGCTCAGCTTCTGGTTCGTGTAGAGCCGCCTAGGGACTGATGGAGCCTTCATAGCCCAGAAGTAGGCATGCTTTCCTGTAGGCATCGCCTCCTTGGCCTTAAGAGATGGTTTCACGACACGACCCGAGCGTGTCACCGGCTGGAGGAGGTGGTAGCTTGGGAATGCGGAGGAGTGGTGGCATCTTGATATAACTCGTCGCCAACGAACAGGTCAGCCACGAGCCTGGAAAGATCTGGCCGTTCCAGGTCGGTGGTGCTTGAGGATGCAGCCGCTGTGGCCTGTGGAGTTGTCAAGGAAGAGAAGTACCGTGAGCAGCTCCTCCTCCCAGATCGCCTCCTCTGGGCGCTCCTTCAGCAACTCCTCCTCCCAGATCGCCTCCTCTGGGCGCTCCTTCAGCAACTCCTCCTGGCTCTGCATCGGCTGGATTGTCTGGGTGGAGATGCCAAAATCTCAGAAAGATCCACCAGAGGTGTTGGAGAAACAGGAGGGAGTCTCAGGGTATCTCGATCAAGATGAGCTTCATTAAACACCACATCTAATTTCCTGTGCTAGCAGTTATAGGCTTTTATCTATGCATTTCTCGCTCTTGGGATCCAGCTTCTAATGATGCCCTAATGTCCCTGTCCCACGTGTCCTGTGGAAGTTGGCAGCCAGTTCCGGATATACACTGCTGTGTTGAGTGCCTCGTGAATAACACTTTTTTTCAAACATTTTCTTGACGTTTATGGACATAAGTAGTGCCTTTCATTAAAAAAGGGTAAAGCTTGTAGAGAGTCTACCAGAAGCTATTGGATGGCCAGTATCGTCAAAGATGGTGCATCTGTCTGTGTTGAGAAGCCTTGATCTGCTGCTACACCAACTGAGAACAGGTACGTAGTAGACCTGGTTCACAAGCTTCTCAGCTCCACTCTCCAACTTTATGATGACCGTGCCTTCCACCGTTAAGGGGCGTTTGTCTCCTACAAAAACTTGCTTCTCCTGCTCCAATGGCTGGTACTTGAGGTGCATCAAGGCTCCAAATTCCATCCAGAACACTTCGACTTTGGACACAGTGGATGAAGATGAAGTGAGCGTCATCATGTCAGGTTGGCATAAAAGAAGAGCTTCTTTCAGCGCGAGCTTTCTCTGCGGCTTTCTTGATCCAGCATTCACGCTCCACGTGGTCAGCTTTGCCGCAGTAGTTACATGGGCCCTTGCGTTTTTTATTGGTTGCAAATCCAGGGCTGGGAGAAGGGCCTTTTTGTCCTCGAACAGGGCCATCTCGTTTCTTCCCATCCGATTGCTTTCCCATGATCAAGGCCTGCTCCACCCGAGCAGCCTGAGAGGGCCTCCGCTCGTTCTGCTTGCGTTCTTGCTCGATCAGGTCCGAGTAGAGCGAGTCCAAGTCCTTCCATCCAGACACAGCCGAGAGCATCGATGCGAAAGGTTGGAGATCAGGGGAGACAGAGCTGAGAAGGAATTGCCTTAGCTTGATCAATGGTGATTGCTGCTTCAGCATCCTTCAGCTCAGTGATCATCGCTTTAAACTTTCATGGTGTCATCAGGTTGCATTCTCATCGTGAAGAACCTTTGTGTTAGCACCACCTTAGCATTGGCAGCTTTTGCAGCGAAGATTTGTGTAAGGAACAGTTCTGGTGGGCTGTGTTGTTAAGATCATGGAGATGAACGAATTCATCCCCAAGACCTAACCCACAGGAATCCTTGGCCAAAAGCATAAGGTGTACTTTTGTTTTCCAAGTGGAGAATTTCTGTCCCGTGAACTTTTGGAGAAGTTTTTCCCCCAGAATTTCCTGCTGCGTTACATTCTATCTATTAATCTAAGAATAGATTAAACAGAGAATTTAGAAAGGACGACGTACAAGGGCACACCTTCCGGCAGGCTGGGCAAAGAGCTTGTTGGCGCTTTCGCTCCTGCCTGAGCCAAGGGTTCCTGTCCCCTTTGATTCTTCCTCTGCCACTGTCCTCTTGCCATTAGATCGTTCGCTGCTCCGATACCATGTTGTATTATGAAACGGATGGGTTTATCGTGGCTATCCGTGGCAGCCTCTGGATCAGCTATGTGCTGACGTGGTCTTGTTCACTCCCACAGACCACCGGCTAATTGCGCTACAGATCATGACCCAGGCACGAAGGCGAACAGTGTCACCACTCACTCATTTACAAGCTCAAAAGCGATGCAGACCGCCTACAATGCAAAACACTTGAAGCCATTGGAAGGAATGAAAGCAGGCGCACGCCACGGGAAGGACTGGACAGGCCAGAGGCGTTGTGCAAAACGCTGCGGCACCAGAGGATTCATCTCTATGCGGATTTCATGTCACAGATTTATTTGCTTTGATAGTGTTTGTGGTCCATGGCCATCATCTCTCATTCTCTATTAAAATATTTCGAGATAGAATTAAAAACCCTCACGGCTATGGTGTCACTAGGAAATATTTCCACCCCAGCCACGATCTTTCCCACTCGCTACGCTGCTGCTGCCGGATCGAGAAAACACCAATGCCGAGCTTCCATCGCCGCGAGGGATGAACTGCTAGGGCTCATCTCCGACGATGAGAGAGGGCTGAGAAGCCAGAAGGACAAGAGGAGAAAAGAGAGGATTCTTCGCGCATTCGAGGCGCTCGCTGCCGAGTCGGCGAGCTCGGATGGAATCACCACCGATTCGCGCCTCTCAGGGACGTGGAGGATGCTGTGGACGACCGAGAAGGAGCAGCTCTTCATCGTGGACAAGGCGCCTCTATTTGGCACTCGCGCTGGCGACATTCTCCAGGTGAAAGAACAAAGACCACAGGAATGAAATCTAGGCTCTTGTTCTATGCAGGTGATCGATGTGGGCGAGAATCGATTAAACAATGTCATCACATTTCCACCCTCTGGAGCGTTCGTGGTGGCCTCCACGATGGAGGTTGTCTCGGACAAGAGAGTGGAATTCCAGTTGAGATATACTCCAGTGGTGATTCCTTTGATATGTTCTTCTGGCCATAGGTTTACTGGCGCGCTTCTTCGAAGTGATACCTGGAGTTTACCAGTCCCTCCCTTGGGTAAAGGCTGGTAAGTTTTTACAGATTTTACCAGTACAAATAATTGGAGCGATCTATTAGGTTCGAATCCGTATATCTGGACGAGCATATTCGGCTGGCCAAGGATATTCGAGGAGACTTTCTCGTGGTTGAGAGGGCGCCATATGATTGGATAGACGAAGCGGACTTTTGGAGCTTGACATAAAATCACAGATATACTCGTCGCAAAAGTCCTGCTTATGGGTGGCCTAAAAGTTTGGTGTGATTTGTCGAGTATTTAAAGGCATGAATGTCCCTCAGATTGATAACTCACACTATCTAAGTAGATTAAATCGAAGAAATGGCAAAATCAAACATTGTGTTTATTCTCCCACTTGCATGCCTCCTCCTTGCTAGTGTTCTTCATGTTTCAGCTGATGTTAGTGGAGACCTCTCTGGTATGCCATAACTTGGTCTAAAGTTTTGTTTGTTAACTCTTAAATCGTTCTGACAAGGCACTATAAGGTCTCTAAAGGAGGTACTTCCCACAGATGAACCTTCATCAGCACCAGACTTTGGTGTCCCACTGGATGTAGTTGACAAAGTACTTGAATTAGTCACTCAACTTATAGCCAGTCTAAAGGACCTCGTCCTCAAAGTTCCTTTGCTATGTGTCATTCTTTATCCAGTGATTATCATCCTTGAGATCATTGTGATCTACATCCCTGGTGGCTTTCCTTGCCCAATTATCATTGAAGTCATTTGCAAGTATCTGGGCAATGCCATTCCTGTGTGGACTCCAATCAAGTTCATCAAAGTTGATCTAACTGTTATTGTGAGCCTCACCACAACTATCAAGCTTCTGCAGAGTGTGATTATCCTTGTTACTCCAAACAGTTGCATTTTCCTTGTGCTGAGTGCACTGGTTAATATCCTTCAGTCGGTGCTGGGATTACTCTATTAAGCTCTATGTTTAAAATAAAATAAATCTTGAATTAAATGTGTTTTTTAAACTGGAAATTCATTTCTTTTTCAACTGGTGAGAAGTTTAGCTTTACAAACCACCATTTAGACCTATATTGACAATGCCAAATTTTTCTTGACTTCTACACATGCTTATGCTAGCTATAGATAGATTCAGTTCTGCCAGCCTTCAGCTAGCCCCTCGCAGCTGCTACAGCAACTTAGTCCCCTTGTAAAGACGGACATGCCCTTTGTAGTGTGATGTCAACAATTCTGAAGTTCACTTTCTTGTCACGTACAAATAACTGGAACGATTGGTTTGAATCCAATAACTGGACGAGTATATTCGGCTGTTCTCCTATTTTGAAAAGCGATTCAATGAGATATAATGAAATATTCAAGATATACTCATTGCAAAAGTCCTGATTTACGTTACAGGTGGCTTAAAAGTTTGGTGTGATTTGTCGAGTATTTAAAGGGATGACTCACACTATCCAAGAAATGTTAGAAAATTAAATTGAAGAAAATGGCAAAATCAAGCATAGCATTCGTTCTCCCACTTGCTTGCCTCCTCCTTGCGAGTGTTGTTCATGTTTCAGTGTTAGACAGTGATGTTAGTGGAGACCTCTTTGGTATAGTATATATAACTTGGTCTAAAGTTTTGTTTGACTCTTTGTCCATGTAAATTTGTTTGCAAGGCACTATGAGATCTCTAGAGGAGGTACTTCCTACAAATGGAACTTCATCAAACATTGGTGTCCCACTGGATGTAATTGACAAAGTACTTGAAATAGTCACTCAAGTTATAGCCAGTCTAAAGGACCTTGTCAAAGGATCTCAAAGTATAGTTTCCTATCAAAGAAAGTGTTGACATCTCCATTTCTTTTTGTTTTTACAGGAGTATGTTTTTTTTTTTTCTTGGTTGTTAATTATGATTTATGAAAAGTGTCTAGATTTGCTTATTTGGCATATATACAGAATGTAAAGATTGCCTTGAACACAATGGTATTTTTCACATCATCATGACATCACTAATCCATTTTATTTCTTTTAGATGAGGATCAAATTTACACTTAAATTTAAGATAAAAGATGACACTTCGCAAAGGAACTTTGAAGACAAGGTCCTTTGGCTTGGCTTGTGGCTCTACTTTTGCTACAACATCACATTCTCTACTTGCCACCACAACACACATTGGGACGGGAGCCAAGAGAATCAGTTGAAAAGGACCTCGTCCTCAAAGTTCCTTTGCCAACTGTCAATCGCATGATAAGTGGCAGCAATGCTGCCACCCACAACCAATGCTATGGTTGAAGCCTTAGCGGAAAGACCTGCAGCTCCTGTAGATTGGAGAATGCGGCACAGAATTCCTGCAGGAACAGCACCTCCCTAAAGACTCATCAGACTCACCGCTGCCGACCCAGTGCTGATCCTGCAGCCCCAAAACCCGCAGCTGCAAAAACTACGGCCGGTGTTGCTCCTTTCCACCCACTATTCACAATGCTTGCAGGACAGCTAGGCTATTTAAATAGAGGCAAAATGCCATGGTTGACTTCAATGTTCAAGTACCTTACAAAGCATCACCAAAGGCACAACAAGGCGTTAGACGAGACAAGCACCAGATAGATTGACAAGTAGCCTTTTCGTTCCGCTGGCAATAGCATTGTGCTATACCCAGGCACGGCAACTCATCATGGATCTGGGCGGGCTGGCAGCAGGAGAACGTGGACACCAGTTGTAGCACACCTGATTACGATGAGTACACTGCAAAGTCGTTAGGAATATCGAGCTCCTGGACTTTGTCACAAAAGCAGACCACCGGCTAATTACGCTACAGATCATGACCCAGGCACGAAGGCAAACAGTGTCATCACTCACTCATTTACAAGCTCAAAAGCGATGCAGACCGCCTACAATGCAAAACACTTAAAGCCATTGGAAGGAATGAAAGCAGGCGCACGCCACGGGAAGGACTGGACAGGCCAGAGGCGTTGTGCAAAACGCTGCGGCACCAGAGGATTCATCTCTATGCGGATTTCATGTCACAGATTTATTTGCTTTGATAGTGTTTGTGGTCCATGGCCATCATCTCTCATTCTCTATTAAAATATTTCGAGATAGAATTAAAAACCCTCACGGCTATGGTGTCACTAGGAAATATTTCCACCCCAGCCACGATCTTTCCCACTCGCTACGCTGCTGCTGCCGGATCGAGAAAACACCAATGCCGAGCTTCCATCGCCGCGAGGGATGAACTGCTAGGGCTCATCTCCGACGATGAGAGAGGGCTGAGAAGCCAGAAGGACAAGAGGAGAAAAGACAGGATTCTTCGCGCCTTCGAGGCGCTCGCTGCCGAGTCGGTGAGCTCGGATGGAATCACCACCGATTCGCGCCTCTCAGGGACGTGGAGGATGCTGTGGACGACCGAGAAGGAGCAGCTCTTCATCGTGGACAAGGCGCCTCTATTTGGCACTCGCGCTGGCGACATTCTCCAGGTGAAAGAACAAAGACCACAGGAATGAAATCTAGGCTCTTGTTCTATGCAGGTGATCGATGTGGGCGAGAATCGATTAAACAATGTCATCACATTTCCACCCTCTGGAGCGTTCGTGGTGGCCTCCACGATGGAGGTTGTCTCGGACAAGAGAGTGGAATTCCAGTTGAGATATACTCCAGTGGTGATTCCTTTGATATGTTCTTCTGGCCATAGGTTTACTGGCGCGCTTCTTCGAAGTGATACCTGGAGTTTACCAGTCCCTCCCTTCGGTAAAGGCTGGTAAGTTTTTACAGATTTTACCAGTACAAATAATTGGAGCGATCTATTAAGTTCGAATCCGTATATCTGGGCGAGCATATTCGGCTGGCCAAGGATATTCGAGGAGACTTTCTCGTGGTTGAGAGGGCGCCATATGATTGGATAGACGAAGCGGACTTTTGGAGCTTGACATAAAATCACAGATATACTCATCGCAAAAGTCCTGCTTATGGGTGGCCTAAAAGTTTGGTGTGATTTGTCGAGTATTTAAAGGCATGAATGTCCCTCAGATTGATAACTCACACTATCTAAGCAGATTAAATCGAAGAAATGGCAAAATCAAACATTGTGTTTATTCTCCCACTTGCATGCCTCCTCCTTGCTAGTGTTCTTCATGTTTCAGCTGATGTTAGTGGAGACCTCTCTGGTATGCCATAACTTGGTCTAAAGTTTTGTTTGTTAACTCTTAAATCGTTCTGGCAAGGCACTATGAGGTCTCTAAAGGAGATACTTCCCACAAATGAAACTTCACCAACATCAGGCATTGGTGTCCCACTGGATGTAGTTGACAAAGTACTTGAATTAGTCACTCAACTTATAGCCTGTCTAAAGGACCTCGTCCTCAAAGTTCCTTTGCTATGTGTCATCCTTTATCCGGTGATTATCATCCTTGAGATCATTGTGATTTACATCCCTGGTGGGTTTCCTTGCCCAATTATCATTGAAGTCATTTGCAAGTATCTGGGCAATGCGATTCCTGTGTGGACTCCAATCAAGTTCATCAAAGTAGATCTAACTGTTATTGTGAGCCTCACCACAACTATCAAGCTTCTGCAGAGTGTGATTATCCTTGTTACTCCAAACAGTTGCATTTTCCTTGTGCTGAGTGCACTGGTTAATATCCTTCAGTCAGTGCTGGGATTACTCTATTAAGCTCTGATAAAATGCACAATGTTTAAAATAAAATAAATCTTGAATTAAATGTGTTTTTTAAACTGGAAATTCATTTCTTTTTCAACTAGGAAATCCAATGGTGAGAAGTTTAGCTTTACATAAAATAAACCACCGTTTAGACCTATATTGACTATGCCAAATTTTCTTGACTTCTACGCATGCTTATGCTAGTTATAGATAGAGTCAGTTCTGCCAGCCTTCAGCTAGCCCCTCGCAGCTGCTACAGCAACTTAGTCCCTTGTAAAGACGGACATGCCCTTTGTAGTGTGATGTCAACAATTCTGAAGTTCACTTTCTTGTCACGTACAAATAACTGGAACGATTGGTTTGAATCCAATAATTGAACGAGTATATTCGGCTATTCTCCTATTTTGAAAAGCAATTCAATGAGATATAATGAAATATTCAAGATATACTCATTGCAAAAGTCCTGATTTACTTTACAGGTGGCTTAAAAGTTTGGTGTGATTTGTCGAGTATTTAAAGGGATGACTCACACTATCCAAGAAATAATAGAAAATTAAATTGAAGAAAATGGCAAAAACAAGCATAGCATTCGTTCTCCCATTTGCTTGCCTCCTCCTTGTGAGTGTTGTTCATGTTTCAGCGTTAGACAGCGATGTTAGTGGAGACCTCTCTGGTATAGTATATATAACTTGGTCTAAAGTTTTGTTTGACTCTTTGTCCATGTAAATTTGTTTGCAAGGCACTATGAGACTCTAAAGGAGGTACTTCCTACAAATGGAACTTCATCAGACATTGGTGTCCCACTGGATGTAGTTGACAAAGTACTTCGAATAGTCACTCAACTTATAGCCAGTCTAAAGGACCTCGTCCTATGTGTCATCCTTTATCCGGTGATTATCATCCTTGAGATCATTGTGATCCTTGCCCAATTATCATTGGCGTCATTTGCAAGTATCTGAGCAATGCCATTCTTGTGTGGACTCCAATCAAGTTCATCAAAGTTGATCTAACTGTTATTGTGAGCATCACCACAACTATCAAGCTTCTGCAGAGTGTGATTATTCTTGTTGCTCGGGGCAGTTGCATTTCCCTTGCTCTAATAAGAACCAAATAAATCTTTAATTAACTGAGTTTTCTAAAATTAAAATTGCAAATATCCTTAAATATGTTGTTTTAAGTCTTTGCCCTTTTCCGACTAACGCCACTAAGCTGGAGAATGGTCCTAAAGACTCATCATTAGCTTTATTTGGTTTTTTCCCACAGATTTGGAGTCTCTTCCACCAGAATCGTCCAAGCACAATCACATGAAAGGCGATTATTGTTGTCCCTTTTATTGTTTTGACAAACAAATTGCTGTTCGCCTATGTTTTGTTTTGAAATGCTCTAATAAGGGAGTCATGGACATCGGTAAAATGTGGTGAGAGGGTCTCCTTCACATTGCCTAACCATTTTCTTATCTTTTGTTTGGAGTCCAACAAGGACAAATACTTCTCCTCCCCCAAGAGCTGACACAAAACAAGTAAGAAGGCTAGGTGGTAGAAAAGGAAGTAAAGATAATTACCTCTAGCTCCATAATCTCACAGGAAAGGATCAAATCGGCAACACTTGGCTGAGGTGAACCTCCCAGAAAGTTGGTATTTCCATCCAGCCATATGTCCTCAATGTTTGAGAGAGCAGATTGCAGAGTTTTCTCTGCATCTGCAATTGCCTTGGTGTCTTTTGGAGCACCATTCATGGGAAATATCACTTCTGCCATGAACAAGCCAGCTGCAAAGGGCGTGTCCAAATCTTATGGTTAATCGGATTCATAGAATCAAATATTTACTTACTTGCACCCCGGCGAAGATTTCCATGGTGCCAGTCTAAAATACTGTCGATCTGAGCTCTCTGCTGTGGATCTGATGGATACCTGATCCAAAACAAAAGCAGATTTCATTAGGGACTTTTTAGTATAAACCTACCAGTTATCAGGAACTCCAGGACAGGTTCCAGCAAGGTATTTCAGGATTGCATGGCTGCGAATTTTACTTGTAAGTCTGATCAAGCTATAATAGTAGGTTTTAAGAGACCTTTCAAAGAGCTTAAATCCATTCTCCACAATTGCTGGAACTTGGCCCATGGGATTGATTGCTAGAAAAATGAAAGAAGTCCTCATGAAACAAGAAAAAAGATGGTACCTTACCTTTAAACTCAGTCGTCTTGTGCTCTCCCTTCAAAATGTCAAGGTGATGAACCTCTGCTTCTATGTTGTTCAGTCTATATGCACATACAAAAGTTTATCATGGAAAACTTTGGAGCAAAGAAAAGAATTGAACTACTTGCAAAAGATAATAATTGCTCGTGATGGCTGTGAGATGATGTTAACATAGAGATGGAGATCCTTCTTGCCTTGCTCCATTTTTACTTGTGATCCTTTTTTCTAACTCTCGCCTATAAGAACTACTCTCTTTGGTGAGGCCGCTGTCCCTGGGCATAGGTGGCAACGACACAAGAAAAATAAACACAATCGATAAGAAACAACTGTTTCTTAGGGTGGAGCATATCTCCAACATTATGCTTAGAATCTCAAACATTAACCTGATATTTAAAAGATGCTTGAATATTCTAGGATATTTAACCATCTAATGGTTGTTATTCATTTAGACTAATTTTGTATTATAACTTATAAATATGTTTATAATTTATAAACTTTCCTAAACACTTCTTAATTATTGTACCATATTATGGTTGGTATGCAATAAGATTAATCTTGTATTTATAAATTATAAACATGTTTATAATTATATCACAATTTTGCACATTTTGGGCTTAAGATGAATTCTATAATTGATGCTCTAACGCTTTAAAGTATGAAGAGTAAAGTTAGACCATAAACATTTACAATATAATTATTATAAATTTAAAAAGATGCATATATGGTTATATAGAAAGTTCATTGTAGAGTATAATAAGGTCACTAGTCAATGCGAGTTTGAAACTTTCACCAAATCATTCTAATATATGACCATTATGGCCACAAATATGTGATGAATACTGATTTGACTTCATATTGACTTCTCTTTTAATTGAATCACATATTGATCAATTAAATTAATAAATAATATAAACATGAATAGCACTACTATTATGCAAATTAAGTGATGCTATATATGAGTTTTATAAAATTTAGATATTCCGTTACAAAAGAAGTACACATAGAAAATGGCTTAGCTTATTTTAGTATATTTTGTTTCAGCCTTAGTTTTATGCTATTCTGTACACACAAATCAAGAATGTTCATATATATTTTTGACACACTACATTCATAAATGTGATTGTCATTACACACTGTTTAGAGGAAAGTGTTGATAGTGTATTGAGAGGTTCTTCCACACATGCTATTGTGGATTCACATTTGGCTTCAGCAAGTGACTATTGTGGTTGTGAATCACATGCTAAGACAACAAAGAGGAGATGTATAACAAAAGGAATTTTGTTATTTTATGTTGCATTTATATGTCCTCTCTAGCTGTGGATAATAATTTTATTTTTTAGAATAATTTTTTTAATAAAACCACACATATGGTAGAACAGAGTGGCTAACATATGTTAAGATCCACACATGCTAGCAAGTTCTTAATGCAAATACCAAACTAACTAGTGGACTCCCCTTATAAGTGATGTAGTTTCAACATTTCATCTCACTTAACGACTCTATTGGAATATCTCATAAAATCTTGATTAAAACCATTAAACATAAGTTGAATAATGGTTGTTTACAGTATTGCAAGATTCACAAACCAAAATGTTACAACACTTTACAAATATGGGAAAAGTGGAGAGAGAGAGAGAGGGGGGGGGGGGACAAGATTTTACACATAAATGTTAAAGAGGTACTAGATTGTAAGTAACCAAATATAAAAGGAAAAGGCTAAAAATGAGAGTGCATTCTTTTTTCTAATTAGTTAAGGTTTTGAGGTACTTTGAGTTAAGTATTCTTGAGTTTGAATAGTATTAAAATAGATGACCTCTCAGATTATAACCAATAAAAGAAAATGGTTTGAAAAATAGTTCAATATAAAGAAAAAGAGCATATGAACAAAAATAATATACCCACTTTTTCAATCAATCTTTGTATTCTTAGGTTTGAGTAGTGAGTCTTAGGTTTAGTAACATTTTAGAAAATTCAAATACAAAGTTTACATGGAGAAGGGTGTTATATAATTGTCTTAAATTCTAAAGAATCTCATTGTGAGAAAGCTTAATAAAAGTATTTAATTTTAAATCAATTAATTTTTTATTAAACAATATGATTATCCTAATTATATACCCTCTTCCTCACACTGCTGATTTTTTAAATTGTTTTGGGAAAAGTTGTTAATTCATCAAATAAGATCTGGTATTGGTAAGTGTTAATAGCTGAAGGGATGTTTCTCAGGCTACTTTCCATACACCATTTGGTTTATATGAGTTTTTGGTGATGCTGTTTGATTTAAACAATACTTTGGTAACTTTTCAATGGATGATTGATGAGGTTTTTTGAGATATGTAAAAGGTGATTATTGACTTTATTGATAATAACTTGATCCACTCAAAGAGGACATAAAAGGAGTATGTCTATGATATTTGTAAGGTGTTAGATTCGCTATAGGAAACTAGTTTGAAACTAAAGTATATGTTTGGGAAATAATTTATCTTAGGTATTGCATTTCTTGTGAGGGTTTGGAAATTTATTTTGACAAACATATAGTTGTTTTGAAGTCTAAAGTGTATGAATTATGTGCAGCACTTCTTTGGTAAGATGTAGTATTTTAGTTATTTTATTGATCATCTTTCTAATTGTATTATATCATTGTGAGTGTTGTTGAAGTTATCAACATCATCCTTCATTTAGCTTTAATACTGTAAGTGGGCATTTAAGAGTTTTAAAGAAGTGTTGACAACTTTTTGTAAACTCCTTAATTTGGACTTCTTAAGAGGTCACTCAACTTAGTATTATTCAAACCCAAAGACACTTAATCCTAAATATCCCAAGATCTTTCACTGATTGGAAAAGAAAGTACACTTTTATTTATAAGCCCTTTCCGTTTTTATTTAAACTTTTATGGATTGTCTCTCGTTATTGTTTACACTCTTTTTAATTATATTTAACTTTTCATTTTACATTTGATATTAATTTTGGAAGTGCGTTAATGAAAGAAAGCATGAATGCATATAGTTAGCATTATCTTATTAGCTAACTCATAAAAGAGGAGTGTCTTACAATAATTTAGAGTGTTGATAAGCTTAATGTATATTTGGATGGTTCATAGACATTGTTGGAGGGTGATGATATTATAGTCATTGTATGATTAAAGTAAAAGAACCTAGTTAGATGTATTGCTTAGTGAGCTATAAAGTTTAAGATATATGATTTTGATGTTGCTTATGTTCCTTGCGAGCCTATTATTACAACATCAATAGATTTTTTAGATAAGGATTTTATGTTGTCAAGAGTTATTGTGTTTGATATTTAGTGTCCAAAAGGTGCAAAACTAGATTTATCTGAGATTCATGAGGCTTAAAAAGTTGAGTTGTGGATTCAAAGGCTTCATGATGAGTTTAAAAATCTTTCATCACTTACTAATGATTTCTTATTTTAACATTTACATTCTTAATATTGCCTTAAGGATAATATTCTTTACTTTATGGAGATTGATCCTGATAACCATTTGCAGTTAGTGATGTTTTTTATCTTTATTTCATGCTTTTTTTATACTTATCATAACTCTTCTATTCTAAATGGGACATCATTGTATGAATGAGAAGTTGTATAGATTTTTTTATTAACAATATGTATAATGTAATATTATTTAATATATGCATAATTGCATTTGATGCCAAGTTCTTAATACTCTTCCTTGTGTTATAGAAGGATGGTTGGGGTCAATTATAATTTCTCATTTGTTTGAGTTAGTAGTATTTGATTTGATGGGGCCTCTTTTGTGGTTGATTGTTGACAATGAGTTTATCATTATTGCTTTTGACTATTTAACTCATTAAGTAGAAGTTAATACTTTTATTAGTATATTTATGACTGTTGTAAATACTTCCTCCTTAATTGGGTGGTATTTTAGCATAGTGGATTTTCTCAAATAATGGTTACATATTCATAGTTTAATCATTTTATGTTTTATCTTTATTGAGGATACACCATGTTTTAATAAGTGTTTATCATCCATAGACAAATAGTTTGATGGGTTTATTTGGACATTCAAGGGGATGATCATAAAGTATGTGAATTTCTAACATTTGGATTGGGATAATTATTTATTATTTCTTTAGTATCATATGTTATGAGGGTGTAAAGTTCCATTGGTGCTTTACCATAGAAACTCTTATATAGTTATAGTTTTATATTGCCAATGGAATTAAGTTTACCTTTGCGATTCCTATGAGCTACCTATGCTAAATCATGAAATTAATATTTGACATATAATCTTCCATTAGTTTAAACAAAATTTTCATAACACTTAACACTTAGGAACAACAATAGCACTATAACTCTTACCATTGTTCATTTATAGAATGCAAAGTGAATAATTTAATGTTGAGTTTGTTTTTCCAATTTTATAGTGTGTGGTTTGTCTAAAAGGTTCCTTGTCCAATTGTATCAAGTGTTGTAACAAATTGGATTACAAGTTTATAAGATTTAGCGTATGAAGAAATCACTCTAAAGACATAATATTCAACAAACTAATTCTTAAGAAATTGTGTATATGTAACAGTTGAAGTGTTTCATATAAAAGGATTATAAATAATTATACACTATTTACAAATTTATTAGTGCCTCCTTCTGATATCAAGAGAGCCTAACTTCTTTTTTTTATCCTTTGAGAAGAGACGTTAAATGTATAGTTATGATACTGTATATTATTATTAAGATTTTGATAGTTATTG